AGAACCGGTGCCGGTAGCAACAAAAACTACGGGGAACCATGCAAAAAACGCATCTTCGCACGGGCACTCCGTGCGTTGGCCAATTTTTTTAAAAGGAGACAGTAGTGGTGAGGACTGAGGGCAGTGGGCGAACAGCTCGCCCCGCCACTCAGTCCCAGCGGACCGGAGACTACTGAACTTTGCGCCCAAAACCTGCGCTTATATAGGGGAAGAATATGGGCGTTGCCAACATAGCTGTATAGATGACCTCAACCGGGCTGTAAAATGTGCCTACTGTATACTCTGCACATAAGATATTCGTGACTTGAGAGGCCATAAAATTCCGTCCCTCTCCCTTTTTTTAGGTTTCAATAGCCCTCACCCTATTTGTAGCACAGGGCTGCACGGGCAACCCTGCTCGTCCTCCATAGAAAAAAATTTTTGGCTGATCGTTTAAGACACCAGCCGAGTTTTAGTAATTACCTGAATTTGAAATCTTTAGCTAATACATTCACAAGGAATATCCTTATAAAGTTTCTGCCCCGTATCTTGTCTGGTTTTCGAGATCGCTGTCCCGCCAAAAAATTTGCACATTTTTTTAAAGCGTCCGTACGCGGCACCCAAGCGTCCGCAGGGAATGAAATTAAAAAGGAAGGGTCGCGTAAGAGCACATACTCCTAAAGTTTCAGCCTTCTAGCTTTTCTGCTTCTCGAGTTGAAAGTGGATGGCAAAAGGAGCGAACACACAGACACAGACACACCCACACACATACAAACACACACACACAGACAGCCTCATCCCAATATGTGTTTTTGCAATTTGCATATGTGCAAAAACGCATGAAAATGACTGCACCAGCAACCCTGGTATGTGTGCTACTAATTCTTTTATTCTTCTTCTACGGTACGTATGCCCAGACAGGCCTGTAAACTGTGAAAGCACACTCCCATGCCGAATCCAAAAAAATGAATAACAAACAAGAGTTTTTCTCGAAATGGGCAGCAAATTCGCGATGAACAGCACGAACGCCGACGTAAGCACAGTACAGCAGTATATAGCCATCATGACGAGCATCGAGTTGGTACCACGTACTTGCCGTCTATAACTTGCAGGATTCTGCTTGGCTGCAAACAGTACTGTTATTCAAACTTCCTGGTCAGTCAACTTCAAAGGCAGTAGAGAATTACCAGGAAGAGTAACAGTTACATCTATACACAGACAATGAAGTGGTTTGAATGTAGTGATTCTGCGGCCGATCTATCAGCTGCGTCCGTAACAAAAAAGAGCACAGTGAGTAAGCATCGTTTTCTCAGAATAAATATTTGTTACACTTTTTACTGAAAAACGAACTTGACCGAGACCATTCCGATAGCTAACATGAGCGTTTGACTTTGCAAATATCCGCGAAAATCTAGCAGGGATTGAAGCTTGCACTACTTCACACTATCATATACATACATCTTGTGTCTAACTGATATACAGATATAAATGGTCCAGCTGCCGAGTCCAGCACGAAGTTAGGTAGTGTGTTGGATAAGGCATCGCATTTCGAAAAATACGGGAAAAAAGAAGACGATGGATTCGATTTTCAATTGGCGCAGGCCCTTTGTAAAACGATTTTTGCTTGTGCAGGCAGTGACTTTACTGGGATGTGCGAGCACGCAAGTTTCTGGTCCTGCGCTCTGCACTAAATGCAGAATGAAGTGGTATATGAATAGGCTTTGTTCTATTTACAGGTCTTTTTCTGCAAAAATATTTAAATCAAAAACTGTCTTTCGGTCTTCCTGTCATAAAATACTGCTAAAACTACTTAGCCCTTTGAGAATTTTCTACTACACCACTGGGTTTGTTGCAAGCTTTCTGAAAAAAATTATTTAATTTTTTTGTTTGTTTTTAAAAATCGTAAATCCTCACATAATTCTTGCATTCTTTTAGCATCTGTCATCAACACATAGCTAATAGTGTTCATGACGAGAATAATAACTGCAGCGCTAACAGAAAAACCCTGCCAAACGGTCGACAGTTTTGGTATATATCCCATTGTTGGATTACATGGTCTGACGGGCTGCAATACACAACAAAGTCGCTAACACAGAAGAGTGTTCAGCTACAATAAGCCATAAATTTTGGATATTAAAAATCAGTTAACAAAATGCATCAGAAGCATCGAGCGAGCTTTCGTCCGCCCTGTACCCACTTTTTCAGTTTACAATTTTCAATTCGAGGTTTCAAGAATAAATTTAAAACAGATTGGCTAAAAAAACTAACTTTCGCTTAAATTTTGATCAGAAATTTCAGATTCGAGCACAAAAAAAGTGGAGCAACGTTGCTGTTACGCTCAAAAATGCGACATAACACTTACAGCGTCGTCAGCAGTAATGAAACCGATTAAAGTAAATGGAGCCGAGTACATGAACGCAACAACAAGGGTTACAATAACAAAAATTTTGCTGCTGATTGTTCGATATCTGAAAATTTTTCACCGATGTGCACGATGAAGCTTTATCGCGATTCCATCTTCTTTGTGATCACTTATAGGTGCATTTGTAACTGGATATTACCAAATGCAGCGTGAGCCGCATCGAAAAATTTTTTTGCGCAGTATTAATATTTGTGCATTTTTGCATAAATATTGCTCAGCTATAATGAGGTACTTCTGTGCGAATGCAATATGAGAGCAGTCTTCAGGACGCGAAAATCGTAACAGCAGCTTCGTACAAGCTAATATCTCGCAAACGGATAAAATAAATTTCAGACTGCAAAACTGGCGCGCTTCTCTTTTAAATTCTTAGACATCAGGAAGCAAAAACTGCCGTTACGTAACTTGTCAAAAAGAAAGCCTTGTACGTTCTGCAGCTGGATGATTGCCATTAATAGTTTAGCACCATTCAATTCATTACTGATAAGAAATGAAATACAGCGCTTGGGCTATTGACATTAAAATTACTTACTTGACGGGTAACAAAGCTGCTATAAGCCTATCGATGGCTATGAAAAACAGTATCACATTCGAGATGCAAAATGAGAAACCGTGCATAAATATCATATAAAAGCACTTTTTACGTGTCATCAACGGTTCTTCAGCAAGGATTTCGATAGCAGTCTTTGTTGCATGCATTTCACATATCTGAAAATATCGCGGATTAACTATCCTAGCCGAAGTGCAAAGATTAGTTAGTAGCAGTGCATCAGGCTTGCTAGTGCGATGGTATTTTTTTGCTCGAATCTTGAAGCAATCAGACTACTAGCAATATGAATGGTTATTGCTTTGGAGCTTAGCACATTCATTCATACTAACAATATTTTTGTTTTATATGCGTTTTTGCTGTGCGCTATAGCGCTGCTACAGCCAACAAAGACGCATACTATCGAGCAGTCGTCTGTGTGTTCGGGAGCGAGTGGACTTTTTCATCCACTTTCATCTCATCAACCAGGAAAACTGGGAGGCTGAAATTTTGGATATATGTTCCAACCCCGTGTGTCATTCGTCTTTTTCAAAATCTTTGCTCATACGCGCCTAGACCGCGCGTACAGACTCCTGAAAAAACATGCAAATTTCTTTGGAGGGAAACAATTTCGCGAGCCAGGGAAGGCAGAAAGCTGAAGCTTTGCAGAGATATTATATGTGATTGTTTGAGTTAGAGATTTCGATAAACATGTTAACCAAATTTCAGCTACTGTTTTCAGGCTAGTTTTCGAGTTAGCACAGTTCCAAGTGCAAACTCGAAAACTAGCCTGAAAACAGTAGCTGAAATTTGGTTAACATGTTTATCGCCCATATAAAAACTATTGTCCGTAGGATCATGTGGTAGTTCAAAGCCAGATCTAACAGAGCAAGAATGCTGTAATTTGGCAGCATTTTCCCGCCTATGTACAGGTCCAAAACGGCAAAATCAAATTTTACGTTTCTCCTTATCCAACTGGAAACGTGAAAGACGTGCTTTCAGGATGTTGATTTATACTAAAATCTCATCTTTTTTAGCGGCTAGACAGCTTATTAACATCCTAAAATTAAGTCTAAAAAGTATCGTAATGAAGTGAGATGAACTCCTGCATGTTTTTCAGCATTCATCCACTGCATGCTCACAAAAACTTGTCGCGAAAACGCAAAATCGCGCAGGCCTCCTTACAAAGAATCACTTACCATCACATTTCTATAGATGCAAAAAACACCAAAGTATTTAAAAAATTAAAAAGGTTTTAAACAGTTTAACTTGTGTTGCAAAGACCAAAAAACATACAAGATCAAAAAGCGCAGCAATTGCGATCAGTATTCCATTGCGAGTTTGCAGCTCCTTGAACTTGTGCGTAGCATAAATTAAATGCAAATTACCGAAAATGCCGAAGATTAGTAAAGGTATCATTAGAAGTCCTGATACTTCCATCGGTCTCATTCTTTGGATTGCAGTTTTTTGCAGGCAATAATTTTTTGAAACTGAAGCAAAATTGACATGTTTTTTTTACCATGGTGAAATGGGGTACGGTACTGATGATTTCCATTCATTTCGCCGTCTGTGTTTCCAACCCAGGGTGAAATGTAGATAGTCTATTAGGTCACTGCACACACAGGCTTTCTTGTTTGGAAGATCTAAATTGCACTTCCAGTTTTTTATTAATTATCAGAATTTGATTATTTTCCTCTCCACGGTGGGCTAGCAACGCCAAACAAACTGCATATGTTAACAAATAGAAGACGTTAGGCCCCGTCCTCCTCCAGTCTCCTAGCGAGGGATATTCATTGTTTGCATCTTATCTGAAATAACTTTTTTGCTATGTGTACACGTTAAGTTTTCTGAAAACTACACCAGCTACGCGAGTCCTTTTTTCGATTCGTTGCCCACTTTTTCGTAAACAAGGGGTTTTAGTGGTTTTACTGATCGGATTCAATTTTCTTCACAGAACACGCCAATCATTTAGTAAAATCGTCTGATATAGGTACAAGTATTCCATTCGTCCCTTTCTGTTACCTCCACCGACCACTCTTAATTCTTTTAGCACAGTAATACTAAAGGAATTATAGTCGTTTAAAACCTCAGAACACTCGTCTCGCATTTTTTTTGGTGCTGCTCCTAGAACAAGATGAGGTTCCCACTGACTATTAGCGGAAAATGACAGATGTAAGTTACAATAATAATAATCGTTGAACCTAAGTCATTTATGTGATATCGGCTGTTTATTTCACGCCCCTTTGACAAGAAAAACATCCGCCTGGCTGCCCACATCGGTTCACTGAACTGTGCAAATGGGAAACAAAACACGCAATTACATCACAAACAAGCGTACGCAACAAAAAAAGTGCGAAAAACAGTCTTTTGAATAGGACTGAAAACATGCCTTTATTCCAGTTTCATTTCAGTCAGTGAATGGCGGAAAATAATACATCGGATTCAAATTAAAAAAGCCACTGCGATTTGTACCTGCCGTTGTTGAGCAAAAATTTTCTCAGACTAAACAAAGTTTATCACACACTGTTCGTAAAATCGGAATTTCACGATTTCTCGAGAACTGCTACCGACCCATGAACAAAGTTTTTTGGAAATACCTTTTTTTTGTGAAGACTTTCAAAAAAATATGTATCCGCAAACCTGTTATTTTTTATCTATAACAGAAGTCTGCAAAATATAACTTTTGGCGAGCATAGCGCAGAAGCAAGTAGCTCTTGTCTCTTTACAGCCTTTTGGCTTTTTCAGCCCTCATATTTTCATCTTTTACTTATCTCTTTCGATTCTGGGATAGCATTAAGAATGTAAGCTGGTGCTTAACAGAAACTTAAATACGAAAAGAATTATGTGAATTTTGTAGGCTTCATTCCTTGAAATACCGCTTTTTCCTGTCATACCGTTCGTCCCATCCTCATCCAGTTGTCTCTTCTCCCTTTCAGTGAACTTCGCTTCTAGTGCTGCAAAAAATCTGGCCAAAACAGACTCGCAGTAAATCTTTTGGTGCTGTAAAAAAGGCTCATGTACTATATGAATTTTTCTGCTCAAATTGTTGTGAAAAATAAATTTATTCACGGTTTGTTGATTCAGTTAAAAACAATTAGTATGACTAAATCGTTCGAAGCATGATGGGCCGTCAGAAAATGATCTAGCTACAAGTGCTTTTTTTGCTGTAGTATACAGATCGCCAAATTTCACTCACAGAATAAACAAATGAAAAACATTTGTCAAGTTCGAAACACATTTAAAAAAAACGACTCGCTTTCCATTTTTCTATAAACAATTCCCGAACTGTTTTACAGTTGCTCTCTGAATCGTTGTCTTACGAAGTTAGAGAATCATCTAAAGCTTTTATCTTTCATTAACTAATTTCCACGCTGAAAGAGAGACAATAACAAAATTGAGATCATTGTTAGTACAAATGTATCTAACGTCAACACTATGAAATCCCGAAAAACAAATAATTTGTGAGAGGCATACAAATAACGTACAGAACACAAATAATATGCATTTAATACAGCTAGTTCGTGAAAAAATTATACAGGGGATCCGACAGAATGTTAGATGTATTTGTACATGACTGTACTGAAGGGTAGCACTTCCAAAAAAAACCTGTGTGTGGAGTTACTTGGAAACGGTAGCAGCGGTAATGTAAAAACAGTAATTTTTATGCTTTCAGTAAATCACAAATGAACTATGATTTCTTAGTGCTCCCCCTCCCCCTTCTTGTAAAAAATTAGTTTCGCTTCAGTTTTGTATTTTTTATGCTGAATTGATCGATCCTCCGGCTATGTTTGGCTTCTGCTCAGCTGAATTTTTTGTGCGCCTTTGATGCCATTCTACGTCTTATGGCTAATTCTTGCATCTATTTCCTGCTCCGTGCCTTTTCACGGCCTCAGCTAGCTTAACTTTGCGTTCAAAGATTCAAGTGGAAAAGCTAGATGAGAGGGATTAGGCATTTTTGCGATCGTTTAATCGATCTTGAGGGTCGCCATCACAGGTTATATTCACCTGAGTTCCCATTCAAAGTCATCTAATTCATTTTTGCCACAGCAATTTTTTTTTTTTTTTGTAACACCTCCGTTTTCCTCTCTTTTTTCCTTTCTGTAGTGCTTTACACATATGCTTTTGCAACCGGTTTAGAAGTCTGCGCTGATGATTCTTACCCAATTGTTTTCTCCATACTTACAGTTAATGTTTAAGAGATGAAACACAGGCAGACATTTTTTTGTCCTTTGCTTCTCAGCACATGTGACAGCCAAATTCTCACAGCTCCCTTGCTGTCCATAACTTTTTTCAGAAGGGGTTTCGTTCATGAAACAGAGTTTATTCAGAGCAGTAATGAAAAATACGGAAGTTGTCCAGTTTGGCCGTCACTGACGTCAAAACAATCCAAATACAAATGACAAAAGCAGTGAAAGAACTCATTCAGCTAGCTGTCCTTTTGCAGTTTTGCTTTGCCCATGCTTCTGCCACCTGTTTAACGTCGCTGGAATTTTTTCGCCCAAGGTGAAGCTGTTTACGGAAAGCGCTTCGATACTGTTGGTTACGCCAGAATAGCACGAAGTAATTATTACCGTAGTTGCTCAGCAATAGGAGAGTACTGAATGCCGTCACACCGGCCTGGAACTATCGAATTTAACGCAGTTTATAAACTCAAAAAGTATGGTCAGTCTTTCAAATGAACTAGACGGTGCCGAATTTTCCCATCCGAAAAGTTATCAATCCTAGATCTCGGCAGATATTTTACCGTCTGGTTGCTACGCCAAAATTAGGTCCGAGAACTTGATAAAAGGCAACTCGTTAAAAAAGGCAGAAGATGCTCTTTGTACTATGACTCTGAATACATCGGCGGATCCAACGCAGTATTTTTTTTTGGAGGGGAAGGGGAGAAACGATTTGGACGATTCTTCTCCCCTTCCTCCTCCGCCTTGTTCGCCACTACATCGGAAACCCAGCCCTCTCCCCTCCCCTTCCCCGCTCGCCCCCCCCCCCCCCCCCCCCCCCCCCCCC